GAATTCGGAGTCGAAGTCGACGAATTCGCGCCCAAAAATGTTCGGAGTCGAAAGTTCGAAAGTTCTCGGAGTCGGCCCACCCTTAAACGTCAGGGCCTCTCCCTATCATATATAGTTACTCCAAGTCCGGTTCAGTGTTCAGTTCAGGGTTGCCAATTTGGCAGATTTTCTTTACCGATACCTCGATACCTAATGCTATTGGTAACATACGGCCGGGGGTAATAAGTAAAGACAAAAATACAACTCTACTTTTCCAAATATTTAGGTAATCGTGTCTAGACAAGTTGTGACTATTTAGCTGACACTCAAACAAAAAATATTTGTAAGAGAGAGAGAGAGAGAGAGAGAGAGAGAGAGAGAGAGAGAGAGAGAGAGAGAGAGAGAGAGAGAGAGAGAGAGAGAGAGAGAGAGAGAGAGAGAGTAATGCATACCCAAATATAAGATAAGATACATCTTTATTGTCCAGATCCTGGCACATTGGTTTGGTGTTCCCCCACGAGTACACACACACACACACACACACACACACACACACACACACACACACACACACACACACACACACACACACAAACACACACACACACACACACACAAACACACACACGTACACACGTGCACACACATGCACACACAAGTAGGCTTACAATCACATGTATAATATAAATGAGCAGCAATATAAACAATAATAATCGTAAGCTAGATACACACTCAATGTTATTTTGATGCATGCTCTAAGGTCGTAAGTACACTAAACAAGATGGTTAAGATGGAAGCATATGAGAATAAAAACAAAAATTAAGTGAAGTATAGGAGGAAAGTCAACTTTGCAGAAAATGTTCGTATTAGAAAATAAAAACACAATTCTAAAAAGGCAATTCAATTTACCAGATTTTTAGCAACTTTAAATGAAACCAGTGAGGATAAATCAGGGTTGGCAGTGAAGATTTTGCAAAATCACTAGATACATTTCATGAAAAACTTCTCTTTTTGTTAAAAAATCACTAGATTAATTTAAAACGCTTGCCCCCTACGAAAACTTATCAGTTTTGATAAACAAAAAATTCCCAAGGCCCAAGTCACTTGCTTTGACAGCCCTGGGATCAAGGAGTTTAGAACTAATGGAGCCTCCTCTCTCTCTTCGCGGCGCCGCGAGCAGTACGCCGCGGTGGGGATCAAATATGGCCGCCGAGTGTGGGCTAAATCTCGAACTGTGGCGTTTCTTTTTATAGAATCTTATCGGGCTGGGCCACGTTGTGGGGGTGGGCGGGGTGGGGGAATGCACGAAAGGAAGAGGGGATGGGGCAGGCATGAAAGAGGAGGGGTGGGCCTTGGGAAGGGACGAAGGAGAATTGGGAAAATTAAATAAAAGAGAGAGAGAGAGAGAGAGAGAGAGAGAGAGAGAGAGAGAGAGAGAGAGAAAGAGAGAGAAAGAAAAAGAGACAGACAGACAGACAGACAGACAGACAGACAGACAGACAGACAGACAGAGAGAGAGAGAGAGAGAGAGAGAGAGAGAGAGAGAGAGAGAGAGCGAGCGAGCGAGAGAGAGAGAGAGAGAGAGAGAGAGAGAGAGAGAGAGAGAGAGAAAGAGAGAGAGAGAGAGAGAAAGAGAGAGAGAGAGAGAGAGATTGTGATCAACTGACGGGCTGACGGATAATGACAGGGGGAGAAAAAATTCTCTGTGTGATACGGACTGTTCAATTCTTTGAGAGTTTTATGTTATAATCTAGTTTAAAAATCAAAAAGATGTGTAAAATAAGAAGTAAACTAGTCCAAGTAACATAGAATTATCAAACATACCAAATTATAAAGATAATCTTTCAAGATGCAAAGATATTTAATTATTAGAAACGGATAAAAATATACTTTAAAACTGAGTTTAAGATTATATTATGATTGCATGATTCTAGGCGTGTGCCATAACTAACTTTATGTGTAAGGAATAGAGGAATAGCGAACACAACAGAGGGTCGATGCCAGCTTTGTCTGATTGTTAACAGTATGTCTTGGTCTATAAATAATAATATTATTGATTACAATAAATTTGTTTCCTGGTTTTCACAAAGTGGAGCGCACTATGATTTCAAATTATTTTTTTTAAAGAGATAACAGCACCTTTGGAGGTGTGATCGCATGCATGAGCGTGGATGACCTTTGAAGGGTTTTTTTTGTTTGTTTTTTTTTGTTCAGTAAAGTATGATTATGGAGAGCAGCGTTTTTAGCCCTTATTACACTCCGGAAGGGGGGGGGGGGATAATTTATCTTAGTGATGACTCTTGTGTATTAAAATTTGTTGTTGCTTTGTTTGGTTTATTTTTTAACAGCAGAATCTTAACTGAACCGGAATTATTGATTGTGGGATCTTAGGTGAAGACTACAACAATAAAATTAAACAGAGTATAGTTCTATCTAACAAGACGCAAACTCTTATCCACCCCACCTTACCATCTCCCCTCATCTGATGTGGTTTGGTGTTTCTTTAACATAGAAAATATTCATCATTATTGTTGTTGAGTATTGATTTCCTATTCTAATGGAGCCTCTAGATATCTACATTAAGACAACAGTAGCATCTAATTTGCACACACAATGGAAAGCAATATAAATGTATATACATACACACACATAATAATTGTATATATACACATAATAATTTTAATTATATATATATATAAGAATACTTATATATATATATATAAGAATACTTTTAAAAAATTGAGTATCTCGGTCTTTCTGCTGGGGTGTTGTATCCCTTTCAGCCTGGGTTGGCCTTGGCAGGTAGCTCCGGAGCCAGCCTCTTATGAATGTTAATGATCTAAATTGTGTTGCTGAGGGCATAAAAACACTTTCATTCAAATTTTTTTAAACAGGAAAACAACTTAACTGTGAAAACTTCGGTCCACTGCAGCATCATATCGGTTCTTACACTTAAATACAATACAGATGCAAGGCATTTTTACTAACTGACTTGCCTAATCTCAAGGACCTCGGAATAAAACCTTCTTTCTTATCTAGATTTCTGTGCGTAAGTCGGGCATTCGCTCAGCGCAGGTAGACCACAGTTCCGCCGCGAGAGAGGGCTCCTATCAGGCGTGCGGTGCCGCCCACAGAGCATCCTCCATTACTTTTAATCTCCTTGCCTGGGACAAAGATAGTACAAGTCAAGATGGGCCACTTCTCTCTTTGAGCCAATTAAAAAAGTGTCCTCAAAATCTGGTGGCGCCCTCTTCGCAAAAGCGCACTTTTTGCGAACAGAGTTACCCTACTTGAGTTTTAAAAAATCAAAGTGAAACTAGCAAGTTTTGGGATAAATTTCGGAAGAACGCTTTTTAAAAATGGTTACGCTGACAAAAAACCTCTTCCGGAGGAAAAGGAGATGGTTTTCTTCATTTAATTTGACTTTAGAATGAAGGGCGAGAGGTCATTAAAATTTTAAAAAACTAAAACTCCGCACTGAACGTACCCGAACTGCTGATGAACAGCAGTCGATCTGCGCACGCAAGGAGGTGCTATTCCTATTCTTCTTCTGGAAAAACGAAAGAGAGCTTCAAAACAGACTGCAGCGCCATCTGAAGCAAAGAGCATACTTCCTGCGGACACTTTTTTGGCTGAGTGGCCCATCTTGTTATGTACTATCTTTGTCATTACTGAGAACTGAGAACTGAGAAGTGCGATGAAGTAGGCTACATAATTTGATGATATTAATGATCGGAAACTTGTGTACTTTGTCCAGCTTTGTATAGCATCTGATTGTAGACTTGATCTGCTTGGGACAGCGTCACTGGTACAGTAGCAATTGACTTTTTGTTATCATATAGGACAGTTCTTATTACATATATTTAACGGGTTCAGTGCACGTCGATATTTTAATGGGGGTGTAGAAAGTACGAGTAAAGTACTGTACTGGAGGCCAGGACCAGCGATTTATTGCTTCTCACTTTCAGTTTGTTTTCTAGCTTAGACTCAAGTAGTGTGTTTCTTTTTCTGTGCCGATCAAGTGAGTTTCTATGAATCTCAGTAACTTCCATCTTACATTATTCATACTATTGTTTCTTGACGCTACCGCATATTTTAGCTCTTTCACATTATATTATAATATTTACTGTGGTGTGTGTGTGAGTGGGGGAGGGGGTGGGGATGGCGAAAGTAGGGGTATAAAATAAGGAGAGAGAGAGAGAGAGAGAGAGAGAGCATGTGTGTGTGTGTGTGTGTGTGTGCGTGTGTGTGTGTGTGTGTGTGAGTGTATGTGTTGTGAAAGAAGGGGGTGGGGGAGGGAAAAATAGTCGACGTGAATGACCGCCGGTCAGTTCTATAAACCACGAGCCGCCACTGGTTGGGACAATACATTAAATGTAGTTTGAGTTATGTGGCCTTACATATTCTTTCTGTTTGATTTAGTCTTCCATTACTCATGGTTTGTTTTGGTTGTTTTTTAACTTGTATTCATTGCTTTATGTATGTATGTGTGTGTATGTTTGTGTGCGCCCG